CAGGTGAGGCAGTGGCTGTACTGAACCGGTGCCTGGCCAAGGTAATGGGCTGGATGGGGGCCAATAAACTGAAGCTCAGTCCAGACAAGATGGAGGTCCTGTTGGTAGGTGGATCGGGCTTCGGGGAAGGGGACCTTGACCTTGTCCTTGTCCTGAATGGGGTTGCACTCCCTCTGAAGGACAGGGTCCGCAGCTTGGGAGTGCTCCTCGACCCGTCCTTGGAAGCTCAAGTGACTGCGGTGGCGAGGAGCGCTTTCCTTCAGCTTTGGCTAATCCATCAGCTGCGTCCCTACCTGGAGGACGATTGCCTAGTGACAGTGACGCAAACATTGGTTACTTCCCGGTTGGATATCTGTAACGCGCTCTACGTGGGGCTGCCCTTGAAGACAGTCTGGATACTTCAGATGGTGCAAAATAGAGCAGCCAGGTTGCTGACAGGGACTGGGCATTATTCTCACATAACCCCAGTCCTCTTCCAGCTTCACTGGCTTCCCATCGAAGTCCGGGCTCAATTCAAGCTGCTGGTCATCACCTACAAAGCCCTTAACGGCTTGGGACCTGGATACTTGAAGGAACACCTGCTTCCATATTTGCCCTCCTGCCCCTTGAGATCGGCAGTAGAGGCCCTCCTCCGGGAGCCCTCTGTGAAAGGCATCAGGAGGCAAAGTACCCAGAGGAGAGCTTTCTCTGCAGTGGCGCCCCATCTAGGGAATGCGCTCCCCAGAGAGGTCCGCCTGGCGCTGTCGTTATTTGTTTTTCAGCGCCAGGCTAAGACCTTTTTATTTAAACAATATTTTAATAATATTTAATATTAACTATAGGTTTTAATTTGCAGCTGGAATGGATCAGGTTTTTAATTTGTATAATTTGTATTTTTGCACTATGTTTGTTTATTTACGTAAGCCGTCCCGAGGCGTTAAGTGATGGGATGGCATACAAAAACTCTAAATAAATAAAATAAATAAATAAATGTCAAGCCACCTTGGGTTCCTTGCAGGAAGAAGAAAGGTACATAGGCTATAAATGCCATATAACAACAACAACAATAAAGGACAACAGACATGGAGAATTTCAGGCAACAGCAAGAAGAATATGGATATCATTCTGGACCCTCTGTTCAAGCTTTCTATTTGCTTGGCATTTATGGTACCTTGAAAGAGACATTGTTGAGGGAGTTATGTAAAAATCTTCAGAGTTCTTATGTCTTCCCTTTAGTGACAAGAATTTGTTATGAACCGGTCCTTTGCTGACAATGCACACAAGGAATGGACACCATTTATTGGTGGTTGGAGGTTTAAAACAAAATGGTAACAATCCAG